TCTAGAATAGTGTTTCCCAACCTATGGGTCAAGAAATATTTTTGATGGGTCGCAATGTTCGTAAACTAATAAAAAAAATATTTTGATTATATCTATATTATAAGAATAAATCGTGATCTCGTATATAATAGAAAACGACTCAGAGAATGTTACTGATATTGAAAAAAATATTTTATTACATTTAAATCAATCACATTTAATAGTTATTTTCCAACTAAATTTGGTTAAGAAACATTGTTCTTGAAATTTCTTGTCATTTTCCATATAACGACAAATCCTACAATTTCTCAACTACAACAATGATTTACCCGTCAGCAGTATCAGCTCTTTTTTTGTTTTTTTTTTTTTTTTTGTGTTACACGATGACGTTTATAGGTTTTTAATGAATCACGGTCTAGTGCCATTGTACAACATAAATTGTACATTTGCGAATTACATGCAGTTCTAAAATTTCATCCATTATATTGGTGTGAAATCAACGGTACTGTCGCGTTAATGCAGGCCGTGCAGCAGATGAAATATTATGAAATTCAATGTTGAACTTGCAATAACAAAATAAAAACTCCGATAAACGCATTCGAGTTTTTTTTTTTTACTTCACCAGGAACCCAAATGACTTGAAATTCGTAAACATATATTTTTATCAAACATAAATGTACTAGTAAATAATATCATTTTTTCTAAGTTAAGAAATTAATTACACTTAGTACTGCCACAATGTCATATTTAGAATATTTTTTAAGGAGGGATATATTGAATTTAAAAATTATCATATCGTTTGCATCGGGGCTCAAAAAGATCATTTTTGAATTTATATTATTCATTCTACCTTAAAGTTATTATTTGAATCAAATAACTAGCCACATTACAGTAATTATTATTAGTTTATTTATAACTTAACAACTAATCTAAACTTATTCATAGTGTAATAGTTCAGATCATTTTCATTTTATTTAACAAAATATTTACAATTTTTACACAATAAGTAGGTTTAATGAGTGACAAAAGAAAAAAAAATAGATTAAAAGTGATTGATGCAGAGAAATTACCCTGTGGAAACACCCAATTTCATTAACAAGAAAATTGTGTAAATATACGTTCATGGGTATTTTTTCTTTTGATATTTTAACTTTAGGTACCAATCACCAACATATTTTTAATACGCCACTATGCACAGTGCTATATTATATAGTCAAATAATTATTGGGAATCAATTTGTGGGGTTAGGTAAGTAGTTCCCAAACGCACATACAATAATATTTTTTTTTTTCACTCGATAAAACTTTGTGGCATTCGTTTAATTTTCTACAAACAAATTTAAATATTATATAAAACCTTTACTTTACATAAATACAAAATAAAAATATTTATTTAAAAAAATTAAAATGCTAAAAAACGCATACCGTTAATATTTATTTTATTGACCGTTTTAATGTAACAGCATTTTTTTTTTTTTAACTCGCAGGCCCTTTCTGTGAACTATTCAAAGTATTCTAAAAATGAGATCAGATTTGAATTACAAATTTTCGTACGCGTGTTGAAAAACAGATACAATGATAATATATGTGTCTATCTACTATATTAAGTGTAATGGGAAATATTTCTAATCTTTATCGTTTTTATCATCTATTGGTTATAATATTCTCATAAGTAATAATACGTATAACTTATGCGGTGGAAAATGTATTATAAATTTTAAATGGTCGCAAAGAAAAGAAGTTAAGACTAATATACTCGAATACTAGAAATCACTAAAACACTAAAATAACGAGCCAATTTTATATTAATAAAATTGAAACAATTGTTACGAAACCAATTTTTAATTCAGTAGATATATTTTTTATCGAATTTCGATACAGTATGTCATATTTTACTATCCGGGCAATTCGCGTTAAAGCTATACAGGGTGATATTGTAAGACATTTATAATCTCGGAAAATATAAACTTTTTTCGGAATTAATTGTATAGAACATTTAAAAAAACAAGCAGTTCTACAATTTTATATTTATGTTATTTTTTATCACCCTTATTTTCAAGAGTAAACCACTTTTGACTTTCAAATAAACTATTAGTAAACTATTTTTGAAAATGCTTTAAATAGATGGAATATTATTTAAAATAAATTTTGGTGCTGAAATTTTTGATTTCCGTCAACACGTTGACGAGATATTCCACTTTTAAGTTTGGCTGGGGAGAAAGTCGTGATGCATTATTAAAACGCCGTGCGCCGTGCCATCATATAAATGATGTACCACTTCTCTTCCCCGACCCAAACTTAAAAGTGGAATATCTCATCAACGGATTGCCGGAAATCAAAAATGCATTTTAACTAATACTGCATCTATTTATGGGTTTTTCCATTTGAAAATCAAAAGTAGATAATGGTTTTGCCCCCAAAAATGAAGACGATAAAAAGTAACATAAATATAAAATTCTAGTAAACGAATTCCGAAAAAATTTAATATTTTTCGAGATAATGATTATCTTACGATAAATTAATCACCCTGTATATACCTCTCTATGGTTTAGTGTTTTCATGGAAAACATTTTTTTTTTTCGCAAAGTTCAATATATAATAAAAAAAAAAACGCTCAAAAAGTATCCCCCAGCAAGTAGAACGCGGATAAAGAAGTCAATTTTCTGATGATTTCCCAGTTCAATACCCCGAAAAACTAGTGGAAAGAAATTCGATCAACCGTTCAAGTTTGAATTCACAACACGACTCGAAACATCGTTTATCTAATATAGAACGGTGTATCATTGCTTACATCTCTAACACATAAAAACAAAAATAAACAAAATCAAAAATGGACTGTGCCTTTGTGATTGGCTACAGAAACAGCAAACTATAGGTGTACGGATATAGTCTGTACTTACATATAACTTACTGAAAATGCCCTTTGCGAACATTCGACACAGACATTTTTCTTTTTTTTTTTTTTACTACGATCGTATAACCTTCGGGGCGAAAGAAATATGTTTTTCAACTTAAGGTTACAGCATATTTACAATCAAAACACTCTCGTCGCTTGGACTTTTCTATATTCCGCTTGGCATTATTCAAAATGAGTGCAATCTGTTCTATTTAGTATAAAATATATACTAAAATGTCAGCGTTTTCATTATCATTATTTTCGTAATATTTTACAGATTTCTATTGGTTTTACCGTATATAATAGGGTTAATACTTATTTAAAACTAATTTAACTAATTTTATTCGACCGAAATATTATTCGTTCTTGTTTCCCCCTACAAGCATACTATTATCTAATCAATACAAGCGTAATTTATTATGTCACTTATGCAAATATTTACTCTCGGCTCGTATATCATTATATTCCTCTATATATATATTTTTATTTCGGATGTTACCTATTTAATAATATAATACGTAATGAATATTTGATGCGAATATACAAATTGTTCACGTTTGGATATTATCACCAATTCTATGTAATACTAAATATTATATACTTACATATTATTATACGTTGTTTTGTTTGTTTGTTTGTTTTAGAAAAGAACGCGGCATTAGAACCAGAAAACAGCAAATGGAAACGAAAAGGAAGACGAAATTCAATATACACCAATGTCAGCTCGTGTTGTTGTTTCTGTAGGCCGACTTACCTTTGATGTTTTATATACGTCGAGCGTAGGTATACAATAAGAATAAAAATAAAACACATTTTTTTCCCCCAAGCTCAAAAAATCAACACCGTGTCTCGCGTCTTATATTATATATCACATTGCACGAGTCCCGGTACCTAATATTTAATAAATCCGTGCACACATTAATATGCGTGATGATTGCCCCGACGACCAGCAAAAAATAAAATACAATATACGTCGTGTAGGAATGAAAAAAAAAAAAACCAATATTCATCGCTGTTCGAGAGCAATATCTGTTGTTTAATCGCTGTTTGGGAAACAATCGTGACGGACGCTTTTCTCCGGCTGTCGTCACTATCAATACCAGCTAATATTATATTATTATTTGCCGTTTTTGCCATTTTCATTCTATTCGATAGTACAAGAAAAAATACCGCCGATGTCACCCGGTGCAGAACATTATAGCGAACAGTTCACCAAGAAGTTTTATTTTAATTATTTATTTATTTAACAAAGTTTCCCGGGCCTCACTGAGCTGAAAGGAATTCGTGTGAAAGCCCAGGGTTATCATTGTGTACAAACATTCTTACAATATACATTCAAACATAAACAGTGTTTTTACCTGTGTATTTTGTCATGCGTTTACGTTTATCGAACTTCGTCGTCGTCGGACGGTGTGAGTCGTATTATTACAACATAAAGAGAACATTATAAAGAAATAACAAAAGACGTAAAGTCGGAAGAACTTTTTTTTCGCAATCTGAATTCGTATTGTAGTTTTTTATTTATTTATTTATTTTTTTTTTTTTTTTGTTTAATTCAAAAACTGAGTACGGATATTATTGTGTATGCGGGCACTATAGCGCATCTGCCGTTGTATACACGGAAACGATGACGACGACGGAGAACAGAAAAATAATATTATTAATTTCCAGTATCTTTTCAGGAAGTTGAACCCGTAAAACTTTTTTCTTTCGCATAACTTCTTAGGAGGAGGAAGTGTGTACTCACGCGCGTACCGGCCATAATAATAATAATAATAATAATAATGATAATACGATTTAGGTATATAATAGTAGCTCGTATAAAATGAACTGCGCGATAAACAAAAACGGCGAAAATGACTTTATTATTGTTTCTAAACACTGTTCTTATATTACGACGTCTATTATGTAATATATACAGTGTGTTTCACTAAAACGGTAACATAAAACATTTCAGCCGGGTTTACTCTCAGATTGGAATTGGGATATTTTTTTTTGAAGACCGGAGGTTTTGGAATACACATTTTGAGCCTATTTTCAAAATGTAAACCCTCGCAGAAAAACTCTTGTTTTTAAAATCTGATGATTCGAATATTCCCATATTCTTCCTATTCTTGCAATTTTTTTCCGCCTCAAAAATCGATGATTTTTTTTTGATCTCGACTTTACAAACAAATTTGAAAGGTACACTTGTTATTAATAATATGTAATTTTATAATTATATTTACTTATAACTTTTCTTCCGTAAAACAATAATCAAATGCCTTCACTTTTAAAATTATTTTTTTAAAAATAGAGAAAATCTGTATCTCGAGAAAGTTTTGAGTTAGAAATAAAATGGAATAAGTCAAATAAGTTGTTTTAAAAAATAAGATTATTCGAATAGACTCAAAATGTGTGTTTTATTACCCACGACCTTTCTGAAGAAAAAAAAACATTTCAATCCAAGTCCGTCCGACTAAAATACGATTGAAGTGATACTGTACTATTGGAATATCAAAACGTACTATGGCAGAACAATAATATAAATATACAGAGTTCGGCAAGAAAAAAAAAATTTACTAAACGATGATTATCCCCTCACCCCTGACGACTTGTTATATACACCGTAAAATGGCATAATGGATATTATTTATAAATATATTCGATTCGGTGGATTTTGGTTTCAATAAATATATAATTCGTCTTCGTATTCCATATTTATGTAGGACGAATTATATATTATTTTTTTATTCGACAAACGTATTTTATTCGACTTTTTAATTCCGTTTTTCCGTTTATACACCTTCTTCTTTGCACCTGCGCAATTTTCTATATTCCTTTGCGTTTATAATTTATTTATTATCATCCGTACGTGGCTTTTTCGAGTCGGTGTTTATTTTTTTTCTGTTTCTATATTAAATTGCGGTCAGCAAAATGCTCAAATAACTACCCACCTCGGCCCCTAATATTTAATAGTACCTATAGTGTTGGCATAGATCATAGATAAATTAATGGGCCATTGTAACGGTTATCACATTAAGGTCAGTTTTAAGAGATTTTTATGTGGTACCTACTACATTACTTTGTTTCTTCCATCATTTGATTCTATAGCGATTAACGGAAACGCATTCAAGAAATCGACATTTGAGACTCGCCCGTCCAACACTCAGAAATCACTGTCGGTATAAGAATAATCTTTACCTACCAACCAACCCAATCTAATATAATATGCTATTATCATTGATATCCATGACGGGTTATAAAAAAATATCCTCTACCTTCCATACAAATTACGGAGATCACAAACCAAACCGATGTATTTCTGTAGCGTCCCGTTCATTTATCTGCCATACATAAGTAGGCGTAGGAGTGTATGAGGTCATGGTGGTCGCCAAAAACTTCAAAGTTGAGTCGCCCTCTGTTGGTCGATTTACTATTATTTTTATTTTATTTTTTTTTTTTTAATCCTACATTTCGTTTGTCGCGCACGCAGGTCGATCTAAGACAACGTTTGTATCGGTCGACCGAACCGTCAACGGTCATCGCAGTCTAAACGGCCGCATACTCGTAAAACAAAATATTAATAAAACTTGAAAACCATTAAAATAATAAATATGTTGAATTTTTCACACGTCGTGGTATTCGATCTCCGGCTCACGTTAATATTATACGCGCATCCATTTAATGTTTTATTAAAAATAAAAATGAAATAAAGCAATTTCGCGTCTTATTGAGCCGATTTTTTTTTTTTTTTTGTATTGATAACGTTTTTCTACGTGGCGATTACTTTCCGTCGTCGGTGTTCTTCTTCTTACATTATTATTAGGTATTAAATATTTTGTATTTTATGATTAATATAATTAATAATTATCACATATAAAAGCGAACCGCGCCTTATTGTTGTGAATATATCGTAAGTATCGTCATTATTTTATAATGTTGTTAAAACAAAAAAAAATATACAAGAGTATAATATACTTATTATATATATACATATTGTATAAAGAAATAATTTATAATGTTTCCGACATTACGACAATACATAGTTCGACATTCCCTATACGTATATATATATATATATATATATATATATATACATACATACATACATACATACATACATACATACATAAGAATATAAAAACAACCCGAAGCACCAACTATCACCGAATTATGTACAATACGATACTTGTAAACTGTTATAATAATAATAATAATAATAATAATAATAATAATAATAAAATAATAACGCGTAGCGCGTGTAATAATATTAATATTATAATATTTATTTAATGTTTAAAAATGTCTATCCTCGTACAGAGAATTCGCGTTCGGGACGTAGCGTTCGAGACGGATAACACGTTTAGTATAATATACATAGGTACCGCGGTTACACGATTATAGGACAGTTGGTTGCGCTACATCTGTAATCGCGGTAGGTGAATAGAACGTCAACAATAAGATAATATATATAAGATAATAAGATCAACACTTGATAAGCGGCCTACACGCCTTCGGTTTTCAGTTAAAACTTAACTGCGCGAACTCGCGAGTGGTCGCCCAAAGGCTGTCGGTGCCACTCCGACGATTGACTTTACCGCGAACCGCGATACAAGCACAGGGATAAAAACACCGTCCGTACGTGAATTAAAAAGATACAATGCGCTAATATATCACTTATCATAATAGCATGTTATTACTATAGTTGCACTTTTACACCCCTAATTGTACCACGGCGCTATGGCCAGGGAAGCGAAAGGGTCGAACCATTCGTGTACGCTATCAGATATGCCAATCCAGCATATCTTATCCGTGACTGTACACTCGTCATCTTTTCCAATTTAGTCCGATGACTGCCACAACATAACTGTTAGAACCATGTCCAAAAACGGTAATAATACAATATATTATAATTGAGTTTAATTTAATTTCCGTTCAGTTAAACTCGCCTTTAGTTTTTGGCGGTCCCCTCTTGAAATATACCGTCTTCTTCTACTGACATCGTATATCTGTGGTACCTATGTTCTCTAACAAGCGTTTTCACCCATCTCTGTCTCGAGCTACCTCTCTCTGATTTTCATTCCCCAAACTCTTTAAATCCTCTATTCCATCACTTATATTGTCCTTCAACCGAACTCAAATATCCCATACTTCATATGATATCATACCATGCAGATTCAACATATCCCTCTCCAAATATCCCATTAATATTTTTCAAAAATCATTATAAACCTTATACAAATAATATTGTTGTCAATCTATACAAATAATTTTGTTAGAAATAAAATTGACATCAACGAAAGATTATGTAATAACTTCAATTATAATTGGATTATATTGTTTTTATTATGATCAATTTTATTTGTAATAAATTTATTTCATATAAACTGATAAAAAGTGAAATTTTATAATATACCTTTATGAGCGTACAGTGATTGTTTTTTTTTTTTTTTTTTTTTTAATATGAACCGGATATTTTGGGAGTTATTTTACTGTTATTTCGCCTACATGCGATAGGGCCAACTTAGGCGTTTGTTATCAGTTAAGTTTGTACTGAAAACTAGGTAAGTCGCTTTTTACAATTGGCTCAAAAGCTTATTTACATTCGACGTTCGTGGTATTCAATACGCCGCATATATATATATATATATTTTATATTATTAAATTTGCCATTTTAAGTAGTTTTAGGTCGAGAATAATATTTGAAAAAAAAAAATGTTTTTTAATTTTTTAAATACATATATAGTTAAAATATAATCATAACGATTATAAATTGATTGTTATGCCATGTAAAATTATATATAGGTATACAAAAATTATTATATTTAATGCGATATATTGTGTATATTATTATGTACATTAATTTGTTAGTGTATACTGTGTATGATTAATACGTATTTCTGTTTTCGCAACACTTTTATGTAAAATTTAGATTGCATTTATGTCTAATTTATTATTATATATCATATACCATACCAATATCGTTATTTTTTTTTCTCTTAGCCGTAACTTTGTGTTACTCGGTTGGCGTATACTCACGATGTCCTATGTAAAAAATAAAAAGGTTAGAAAAAAATACTTATGTACTTGACGATTTTTTATGGCAAAAAAATTACGTTCAACCCGTTAAACTGGGTAAGAAATAACAAATAATTGGCTAATGAATAATTATGTTCGTATTACAATATCCTAAAACGATATGCGCAGTAAAAACGTGAATCGTCTTTATGTTGGACATTGTCGCTGCATCATCCGAGTAATGCAATACGACTTTTATATATTACAAAAAATAATAATTATAATGTTGTGTAAAGACTTAATTGTAAAAAAATATATATATATATATAATTATTAATGATAACGTTCATATTATATAGTTATTCGCCGAGAAAGGACGAATATTTTAATAATTATTATGTTTTATCGTCGTTATTTTTACTTAAAAAAATATTTATACAATATTATTTGTTAGAATAAAAAAAAATCGAGTTTGTCAAAATACGTGAAAAAAAATTTATGATACGAATATTATATTGTATTGAAATATGGCAACGAGACTACAGACAAAAAAAAAAAACAATAATACGCAATAGTATTATAATACTATACTATACTGTACTAGAGTACTACACACGATACCGAGAATATTTTATCAATAATAACTTTTACATTTTTTCGAACAAAAAAAATATAATAATAAAAAACCGTATACATTTTCCATTTGAAATTTCAGGTCGGAACGCCATATTTTTGAAAGTAACATTACTCACGGTACGAAATAAGCCGTAGAGGTACGAATGCGATACGTCATAATCATGATATAGTGTGTGTCAAGGCACCACGACCGTTTTAAATTTTACAAGAGGACTTGATTAATAACGCGAATTGCTATACATCGTACTCACGGAATCTATATACCTAATACTATATATTATATAGTATACAGGGTGATTTATTTGAGTGGCTATACACGATATTTCGAAACATTTTGACTTTTTCAAAAAATAATTTAATTTGAAAATTTAAAAAAGACGTCCTAGAATAACGAGGTTGGATGCACCCACTATTATAGGTAATTTAATATATACCTGTAGAAACGATAAACCATTACTAACGAAAAACGATTCTGAGCGCAATTCAGTTTATAGTGATGCTTTTTCAACAATATGTATGTCATATTATGGTAAAATAATTAAATATGCATTATATATTTTCTTTAATATTAAACTGATATTCCCGTTTTTCCCGGTTTTTCATATTTGCGGGTAAAAATCTTAAGAGAATTGAAAAATAACTTCTCTAAAGTAACTCCCAGTCAGATTTCCTTTTAAAAAAAATGCTGTCATTGTAAATCAAGGCAAAATTGCTGGTAGAAAAGTTGTCTATAGAAATAAAAATCGTAATATTTGTACATTTTCCCGTTTTTTCTCAGATATTCCTCATTTATTGGGAAAACTCCTGGAAAAATTAAAAAATGACCTCCCCAAGTTACCATGAAGAACGAATTTCCAGAATTTTAGAAATAAGCCTTCATCCATTTATATAATTTTTAATAAATATTATCATTTTAAAATTAAAAGTATTTAGCAATTGCACGCTGAAAAATTAGGGACTGACAAAAAATAATGTTGATGTAACATTTTAGAGCTGTCTGTTTTTTAAATTACCAAAACAAAAAAAAAATGTTAAAAAGTCAACACTTTTCGACATTCGAGTGAAACTACCTAAATGGATCGGAATCACTCTGTATAAGACTAAATATATTTCATTTCACATAAATTTTAAATTTTAAATATTTTAATAGACGTGAAATCACGAAATGTCCACGGTGATTTTAGATTCTGAGCGGAGCTATTTGCGGAACTATTTGTTTGACATATTCAGCCTAAGTTAATCTTTTGTCTAGTATCAAATCAAATTATTGGACACTACTATACCGGAAAAAGATAGAATGGTTTTATTATTTAACTAAATTAGAGAGACTATAATTTTATTCAAAATGAAAGTGATATGGGAGGATTTTTCATTTTTATTTTTATTTTCTATTTGGAATTCCAGTTTGCTAAGAGATTTGAATAATTTTGTAGATATTGGCTAGCACGAAGGAGATTATGGTTTGAAGTGTAGATCCAGTCACTAAAGTGTGAGGAGTAAATGTCGATCAGCTGTGTATATACTGAACAATATAAGATAATAAATCGCACCTTGGGAAACACTATCTAGGATTGGGACGAAATTCGATATTTCAGAACCACCAATCAAAGAAAAATAACAATGATCAAGATAAGACTTAAAAAATAAAAAAAAAAAAAGGTGGAAGTAGGATCATTAGTAGAGACCAGACTGCAAACTCTGTCGAAAGCTTGAGCAACGTCGAGGAAAATAGCAGAGCAGTGTCACTTATCTTCCAAGGAGTAGGGGATTGAATCAGTTAAGCAGTGTATTGGGTGCGTGGTAGAACCAAAAACAAGTTTCAAAAAAAGTTTAAATTCTAACCTACTTTGTTATTTTAGAATCGGAGCGTAGCGAGGAATCTATTGGTTTCACTATGGTGTGTGCTTTGTTTTTCTGTCTACAAATAGCTTTACAAAAATAAATGTTGTTCCGATGTAAAGAGTATAGTAACTTTTCTGAAGGGAAATTTTGTTTAGTTGGTGCATTAGAAAGGTCACTTTTTCATTTTCCAAGTGGTTTTCGAAATAATTTGGAAAAACTTAAAAGAAAATTATAGATGAAACGGCCAATATTTACGGCACGCCACGCCGTTATCGTTTAATTGTTTTTAATTTTTGTTCGCCATATTTTCTATATTCTGAAAATTATTGGATTAAAATATATGGTTATAATAAATAAATCTTATAACTTTATTTAATTTATGAACTCAACTTATCCGACCCAAACTTGGCTTATAGGATGAGTTTACAACTTTATGTTACTTTGTTACTGTTTTACTTTATTCTGTAATTTTTGGTTGCTTCAATATATTATTTTTATTATTATTAAATAAATGCATACAAATAGAAATTAAATTAAATTACTCTATTTAATCTACCTTCCCAACGTTTAGACTCTGAGTACAACAAATCCCAAGGCTGCTGGATGTTCACGAGTTAAAAAGTTTAGTTAATTTTAAAATATTACAACGATCACGATTTCATTATTTTAAATTTGTACGACTTATGTTTTTACCATAAATATTATTCTAACAGAAAAACAACAAGAGATCTTTTTTGTTTCACTTTTAACATAGTTGGTAACCAAGAAAGCCGTTTTTTGATTTTCGTTTTAGTTTCTTGTAGAATTGAACAAATACCGACAAATACGTAAAAAGAACGGGAAAATTTACGAAAATAATTCTTTTATTATTTTAAATTTTGTTTTTCAATATCATTCAGTTAAAAAAATGTTTAGAGACTTTAAATATTTCCAGATAACTATGTTTAATTTTTCTAGACATGGTAAAATTTTCAAAACATTTAATCAATTTTTGATCTATTTATAGACATTCAAATTTTTCGAGTTTTTACGTAATTTGTATTTAGTATTTAGTCTGTGGATGAAATTGTGAAATTAAACAGAAATACTTGAAAAGTTGAGAGGAAGTTCTCTATAATAAATCGTACTTAGTAGTCAGCAAAATATTGAATTTTAGTAGTATTTTTTTTTTAATAATTTGATTTTAAAATCAAATGTTAACAAAAGTTGTAAATATTACGTATATATATTCAAAACATGTATAATTTTGCTCTTAATCGGTTTTCATTAGCAATCGTTGGTTACAGGTATAAATTAAATAACTATGTATCTCACCTTCCCAACAACACATCAGCAGTGGCCAAACCCATTCCCAGTATCAGCTCTTTTTAAATTTTAGAATGTTGAATGCGGCTAAACTATTTTTCCCGGATGTGTACCATTTACAAATTCACCCCAATTAATGCAATATAAAAGTAAATTTATGTAAATCGGCTTTAAGTCAGGAACAGTAATAGAACAAACAAGAACAAACAAAGAACAATCAAAAGCTCCAAATTTGTTTCTAAAATTTGAAATTGGGGGTACCGGGGAAATTTGTTTGTTGTGGTTCATTTAGAAATATTCATAGGAACTTAAAATTTAACAGGAAACTTGAATTTGCTCCATCTAACCGAGGTAATAATTTCAAAACCTTTTGACGATTTTTCGGCTCATTTTACGTTTCCATAGTTTTTATTTGGTAGGTACATATGTAGAACGTAGATATAATTGTTTAACTAAACAGAAATGTTTGACAATTTAATAGGAGATATATTATAAGCCAATAGTCAAAAAAAAAGTTGGAATATAACGTAGTAATTAGTTTTTTAGATTAGTATCAAGATCAATTTTTAAGGAAACCCGTAAATATTAATACCCTTCAAATCATGTATAAACGTATGATTCGTTCAGAATTTTTCATTTTGCAATGGTTTATCGTTGCTTACGGATATAAATTAAATAGCTTTATGTGTCCTGCCTTCCTAACATTCCATATGCAACACTGGCGCACCCGTCAGCATTATGCTCTTTAGCTTTTTTTTTCATTTATATCAAAACAATTAGCAGAGTATATTACACTAAAATTTCCGTTAACGGTCACCTCTAAAAGACCATCACGTCTGTGTAACGGTCATTTTTTTCAGTCCCATCAAGTATAATGCCTCTATAGGAAACCTCTAAACTCTAAAGAACGGTCACCTCTAAATAACGGTCATTATTTCCGGTTCCTTCGGTGACCTTTATATGGAAATTTTACTGTATCATATTAGTACATTTTTTCATAATTCTTCTACTAACTAATTGCCTATATACTTTCGGGAAATTGTTTTGTAACGGACGACTTTTGCAACAACCCATCAATAGAATTTCCGAAGAATTTCACTTTATCGGAAGCGAAGTGGTTCACCGCAGCGACCGTGTTTCACCGGACTCCCGGCGAACTTTATCGAGCTACTACGTGAAACCCTCCACTAATTTTCATGCAGCGTAATAAGACATTACATTTTCCCCTGATTTGATTTCCCGGCTATTTCCATACTAAAATCATTCGTTTTCCTTTGTTCCGTTGTTCAACGAAACTTCACTCCTAGACTCCTCGACCACTTAAACCATATTATACTTGTAATATAGGTCAATGAATTACCTATATCCGATATTCCTTTACAGCAACGGTTCCCAACCTTTTTGAAACTATTATCCATAAATCAGGTTATATATTAACAATCAACCCTCCACTCCCAGAAAAGAGTTTTTAAAAACAACTATTACAATCGTAATACAAATGACTGATGCAGAGTTAATAATGATAGGTATATAAATTAGATAAAATAAAAATAAATTAGTTAGGTTAGGTAGTCTTTACCCCTCGAAAAATTCGTGTTTTACTCCTTTGGGGGTGATTACCCCCAGGTTGATTACCACTGCTATATAGTTAATATATTATTATAACAATACAACCATCGCCTGGTTTTTGATGCACAATTTTACGAGTAATATTTCCATATAGACGTAGGTTCTATATATGCACTGTGTATAGCAATACCTAGCACACACAGAATTCTTTATGGAGGGGAGGGGATTGTGCTTATCATAATTTCCTAGAGAAGGGATAGCACATATTATCAGTACATTATTACTAAATAAATGATTTTTGATAAAAATAAATTATATGTTGTTCTGTGTATAAGATATCATGCTGTTTAATATAAAACTTAATTTCCAAAAATACGTCCTGTAATAATGGGCATGTGTGCAGCCACTGTTTTAGGTAATTTAATGTATACCTGTAAACAAAGATAAACCATTTCTAACTAAGAAACAGTTTTGAGCGAAGCTCAGTTGATAGTGTTGCTTTGTCACCAATTTAATATGTGTCATATTATGGTGAAATAATTACAACAATGTGCGTTTTCATGAGAAAAATAATTGTTTAAAAAAGATTTCAAATAATAAAAACTTAATAATAACAAAAAATAAATAAAACCGGTTGCTAATGTCAACCTTATTTTTAATTGTTCAATCATTTTTAACCTAAGGAACCAGATTTTTGTCGAATATTAATGAGAATTTAAAAAAATGACCTCTTTAAAGTACCACCCAGAGAACATTTCATTTCAGATACTCATAATTAGAGTATGCTTTCTGGTAGAAAAAGTGTTCACATAAAAAAAAAGAACGGACATACTTCGCACGTGAGTGCAGCTACTTTTGAAGGTGGGAAGTTGGGAAGATAGGATACATATGGGAATTTAATAAATATTTGTTGGCAACGATAAACCATTGCTAACGAAAAAACGTTTCTAAACCGAGTTCAGTTGATGTTTCTTTATCAACAATACAATATATGGTATATATCATATTGTGGAAAAATGTTTACAACAATGTGCGTTTCCATGAATACAATGATTATTTAAATATATTAAAATAATAAAAAATTTAATAATAACAAAAAATAAATAAAAATGGTTACCAATGACAACCTTATTTTTAATCTTTCTATCGTTTTTAACCATAAGACCGAGATTTTCCTCATTATCTTGAATATTAATGAAAATTTAAAAAATTACCTCTTTAAAGTACTACCCAGAGAACATTTCCTTTCAGAAAAGGTGCTATACTCGATAATCGGAGTATGCTTACTGGTAGAAAAAGTGTTCACTTGAAAAAAAATTGTATAAATAAACATCATTGTAAAACCAATACATTCCGCGCTCCACTCAGAATCTAAAATGCAGTATGGAGTATAGATTGAAAGCTATTATCAAATACTATAAATCGGTACTGTAATAAACATTACAAATAAATATAATAAATAATCATTTGTACTATACATTTTATAGTATTTCCTGTTATCAATACTGACTCACCGTTCTACATCAAGGTGTATTGATAAGGTATTGTCACTTTTTAAACTTTGATTGGAAATTTTACCACAAATAGCTATCACCACTGGGAGAGCTATATGTCGTATGTAAGCTAAAAATATATGTAAATTACACATGAAACCATACAAAACATTCCTTGTATCGCTAGAAACTAGATCTAAAATGCAACAAAAAAGGTTTCTTGTCATTTTATACAGATCAAGTGTTTTTTTTTTTATATAAATTTATATATTGTTTTTAACAGGAGATTATTGAAGTTAAGAATAAAAAGATTCTACGAGCCAATCGAAACCTAACTGCAAAAGATCATGTTTGCGAACTGCAGGAACCCAATGAGAAAGATATACAATATGAATTTTGTAAGTCTGCATTAAGAGCAGATGCAGTTTCTACCATTTTTCCCAATTTACCTCACTATTTGAATAAAAAACAATAAAAAGAAAGCCACTAAAATGAAAATTATTTCAGCAAAAAAAATTAAACTACAGCTAACTAAATTACATAAGTACATATGAAAATACAAAATTATCTTTTATTAAACAAATATTTATATCTGTAACTATAAACAAATTTCTCACAGTAAATCGTTCTTTTTTTTTTAAATAATATTTTTTATATTTTATTTATTCATATATTTATCGATTATAAACACTAGTATTTATAATCAATGATATTAATCTCATATAATAAACTATATTCAAATTAAAAAGACAACTTGATGGTGACCACTTTATGTTAGACAGGCAGTCATGTCATAATAATAACAAAGGTTGGTTGCTTGCTACACAGTCAATTATTAATCAACTATCATACGATAGGTAATATTATATTACATCAAAATAAAGATATTATTTGCTAGCAAACGAAAGAATAATCAAGTTGCTGAAAAAATGAAAAAACAAAAAAAAACTAAAAAATAAATTTGAAGTTTGTTACCTATATTTTAATAATTATAAAATTATATCATTTAATTAAATATAAAACATATATTTAATTGATAGTTTTAGAATTGTTTATGTGCAGAAATAAATAATACTTCGTTTATTTTAATTAAATTACCTATGTTCAATTATAAGTATTTAAAAATTTCAAATATGATGCAATTAACCAAAGAATTGTAAATAAAAAATATTATATACAATATACATACATTATATTTTATAATTAGTGTCAATTTGATAAAAAAAATTTAAAAACCAAAATGCTAATGTACCTACCTATATTATAATTCTAGAATCTAAATAATTATACGAAATATTATGCCGCATGATAAAATATGTTATGCCAACTCTATGAAAAAACTATTAAATACTAATTTTCATAAAAAAAAAAAAAAAATACTTAAAATAGTTAAAATTTTAGACATTTCAATACATTCTGCATTTAACTGTATGCAAAATGTACAAAAAAATGTACAATACATAGGACAGTAAGCGCGCTCTACACTGCGGTAAAAATGTCAATCAAGTCAGTATTCGTATAGGAGTCCAGAGTAACGACACCTTATCAATACACCTTGTTCTACACTATATAGAAAAACTTGTGTTTAAATAAAAATGTTTGAATTTTGAGAGGGGAGATATGGGAAAATCTGCACAAAGATAAGTTTAATATTATATCGGTACTAGATACCTACTCACTAAATCCGTGTTAACCCAGCTTTATAATACTGTTCATAATAATTATAGATAGGTACATTAATGGTAGTATGTGATTCTATGTCATTGATATTTTGCCACTACGACGACTAAAATAATTTTTGTTCGTACAATTTTATCAGTAAAATTTACGCGCAAATGAAATTATAAAATTAATGCAATAATTTTAATAATGTTCTGACATCGGCATAATGCTATTTTTATCGAACGTTACCTGTATAGGTAGGTAATAATAACATATTTAAAAATATTAATGATAGTAATAGTTTGAATAAATCGTATACGATGAAAGCACACCATTGAAACTATAAGCACGAACCACCCCTGGTATATATATAAAGAAATTCGGTGTATACGTGTCGGTACAAATTTTAATAGTGAAAATTACAAGTGCAGCTGAAGATTGGTGTGTACCTAGCTGTGTGTTGTTGCATATCTAGCTGAAGGTAAGTGATTTTTCTCTTTCTCCTTTACTTTTGCAAATACTGATAAATTATTTTGAAATTTCAAAAATACATACCTAACTCCCAGAGGTTTTCACTTAGAACAACCATTTTTACATCGTTAGATAAGACTCGAAGAGGACTACTGACCTCTATCTTAACGAACAAAAACTAACCAACCAGTATTGTAACCTGACCTTCGACAAAGGGTTCTATCGGACGCATACTTACCTAGGTATATTAGATGTAAATACTGCTAAATAGTGTTGGAACCGATGGAACCCACTCCGTCCGCAGTTAAATTTACAATAATTATATATTATATATAATATATTAATAATTATATATACCACGTCACGAAAACTACGGGAATTAGAAACTCGTGGTTAGGTAGTTGCAGAAACACTCGCACAATAACTGTACATAATCCGGAGACGGGGAAATGCAATCGATATACCTACTTAAAGATTTACGATTAAAACTCGCCAAGTGTTTCGGCCCAAAACACATCCCAACCCGATGATCACATGATGCAATATTATTAATTGATGTTAATTCGATTATTATAATATTTCCAAATTTATATTTGTATATATATTGCATAATATACCTATTATAATATGTATTTAAAGAAAAACGTGAACCTAATTTTAAAATACTGCTAAATACAGTGGCGTTATTACGGGGGGGGGGGATTTAGGTGTCGTAACCCCCAATAACTTTTTTTTTAAAAAAAGACTGTGGAACTACATTTATGTACTTATTTAACTATAAATATTATTATATTATATAGAAATAATACGAAAAAAAATCCGGATCCTCTATGCTGTACATAAATACTTCGAAATAAATGTAAGTGCATACTGCCCTACCAAAATGAAAGGCAGTAATCGACAATTGTTCATAAATGAGATTATTGTAGAATATCTATTGTTGATTAGGTCATTTTACATCGATTTTTCTAGGTTAGAATGCAGTGAAACATTATTTAGACCCTTTAAATGAGATTTAAATATGTAACATCTACCAAACGAATACTAGACAAATAAGCAGTAAATGATATATTCTAGAAAAAAACTCAGTATATTTTGTATAGTTTACTGCTTATACATTTAGTAAATTTATTTAACAGCATACATACTGCGTATGTATCTAGTAACTTTAGATTAACTGATCAACAGTAAGCAGTATCTACATGTTTATAATTGAATATCAATATTTTAAATTCTTTTATAATTAATTTTAAATCTTGTAATTTCATAAAGTAAACATAATTCAATGAGTTTGTTCCTAACTTTGATTAGTCGGAATTAGTTAGTTTTTATATTTGAAAATGTATCTATTTTATTTTTAGAATTATAAATAGGAACTATTAATATTTAAATAGTATGTCACACACAGACTAAGTTATGATCCATTAATCATATCAGACATCAGATTTTACTTTGTTTGCTGTTCGTAACTATTTAGGTTCCTAAGAATGAAACCTAATTTTAATAAAAGTGATTTTTTTATTAATTAATTACATGCGTGGTTAAACTATGGTGTTTATAATTTGTTATGTTTTAAAAAGAAATAAAAAATGTATATCTGGTTGAATTGATTGATACTGCTTTTTAAATAAATTGTAGTTGTAATAATTGTTGACTGTCACAAATGCAGTATCTACTTAATCTTGCTAAGAGAACTTGCTTATAAACTATAAATATTTGATTTAGGAAAAATAAAATTATTTCAGAACGATTTCTGAGGTAAATAACTACAAATAATTATCTAAACATTATTGAATAATATTGTTAACAAGCAAAATAATTCAAAAAAACGAAAAGCCCATTTTCCCAACATTTGCACTTTTGTAGATACTGCCTTTCACTATGGCAACATAGGTATCACTATTGCAATATTGCGCATAAATACCTATGTCCTATATATTGTATTATGGTAATGGTACAAAAATAAACCACCAAGCAGTCAAATATTATTTTATCGTGGATCGACGACGCTCATCTGACTATTTTATTTAGATTAATAAAGACTATAACAATATTATACACATTATCACATGCATAAAATACAATTTTTTTTTTTTAGGGGGGGGGATAATAGGTAAAATGTAAAACTTTTCATCCTTCCCCCCCCCACACAAACATCACCAAATTACGTCACTGGTTAAGTACGATTTGATACAAATGAGACGCTCAATACTCTTAAAAGTAAAATTATTTTTTCTCGAGAACAACAATTATTAGGTATTGTTCAGAGAATCATTATTTCCACAAGCAAATAAAAATTAATGAAAATCCACAGCTAATCTTGGAATTTCGGAACTATGGAACTCCGAATGGTTTAATAATATGTGGAGTATAATATGGAATACCTACTACCTATCCAAAATTTTTATTTGTTAATGAAATTATATGTTTTTACAGAATTTATTCTCGCGTGAAATTATTTTACCAAAAAACTATTTTCAATTTCTGAGCGTGGCAAGGTTAATTTGTTTTTCCACAAGGTCATATTAATTATACTATGTACATGTCCGTGTAGAACGTTTGTATATTATAATTTCATATTTATAAGTAGAATGCAAGTTTACCTATCATTTAAAAATAACCGACAAGAACTATAATTTTAAAATATTAATTTCTGGTAAGTGCCTATCTTTTTTTTAAGCAAAAAAAAAAAATTGAAAACATTGTTGTTTATGTCTTTACGTTTTGACAGCGTTGACCGGACCGAGACCGTATCATGTTTAGTCTTCTAGAAGTTCAGATTCCCCGAAATTGTTTTTTCAAAATGCAAAATGTTTGAGAAAATGTCAAAAAATGTTATTACATTAATTGTTAAAATAATGATGAACCTTATAAGCCATTTATTTTATAGAGCAATATAGGTATTGAATACAAACCAGTTAATGTGGAATATAGGTAACATTAGAAGAAGAAGTAATTTTTTTTTTCACAAAAATTTGAAAAAAGTGTCCTACTTTGCCGAAAAAATAATTGGTAGGTATCTATGTGGATTACGCGTTTAAAATGTTTTAAAACAAATTGCTTGTTTAATCCAAGCCTGGATTGTTTGCATGGATTTAAAGAGCACATACCTAGTGTCACCATTAATAAATGTATATAAAATGTTCGTTCACAAATTTAATAGTGCAAAAATGTAGATACAATGTTTATAAAGAAGAACTATCTTTAAGTTCAGTCCTTAGGCTCACTGGATCCTATATTTATCCAGTTTTTATTTATGTAGGTACCTAGGTATATAATAAATGAGTTTATACGCAATATCCATTAACAAATATGACATTTAAACAGTATAACATTTTAAATAAAACTTGCAAAATCAAAAATTTAGTATTTGGTCATTTTTTCATATTTATACTTTTGGTGGAATAATTTTAATCGTCGCACAATGGGAAGTAATTAATACAAAAAACGATTGCAGATTTAACCGTGTGTAGTCTTCAGCCTTGGTGCGTAGTGAAAACACAGAATAAATTAAAATATCTATTCTCATTAAATTTAATATATAAATATAATATGTAATGTGGTGAAAGTGTAGAACCACTGTTCTCGGCTGTATTGGTTCAGTATCTTGAACAGTTGGACCCCAGAGTAGAATACATAAAAAATGATAAAACGAATTGATAAGAAAATAACCTTATCAAAAAAGTAGCAATGAAAAATTAATCAAATTCAAATCGAATTAATTTATTCGAATATTTTTACATCACATTAGTTTAATTTATTTTAAGTAGTTAAACCATTTTTAATATTAAGTAGTGTTATAATATACCTAGTTAGCATTTAACTTTGAAAATTGTAATATATAACTACTAGAATTTTTTTTTTCCAGTCAAAATGTCCACAATTTTAGTAAATTATGATGATTCAGTTCAGATAATTTCATTTAACAGTCCAAAAAAACTGAACGCCATATCACACCAGGTAATTATTTTATGTTCTCATTTATTGAACTAAATTTTAATATAGGTGTCAGGATATCTGTGTAATAAATACCTGATACAAATTTCATTGCAATGTATAGTGCTACAAAGAAATAATTGAAGCGCTTCACGAAGGAGCTAAAAATGAGGATGTATTTTGTACTCTATTGACCGGTGTTGGTAAGACGTATAGTAGTGGTACGGATTTATTTGACAGTTCAGACGTAAATATTGAAGAGCGTTTAATTGTAGTACGGTAAATAAAAAAAATATAATATAGATACTGCATTGTACATACCAATTATCTATTTTTTTTTATTTTTTATTGTGTTTACAGGGATTTTGTAAGAGCGCTCATAGATTATCCAAAACTGTTGGTTGCCTTGGTAAATGGCCATGCAATTGGAATAGCGTGTACAACTTTGGGACTTTGTGATCTTGTGTATGCTACCAAAACAGTAAGTTTATTTTACATTTATTGTTAAATTTCTTAGAAAAGTTCTTTAATTTCAGGCAAATTTTATGTGTCCTTTTAATAAACTGGGTATTACTGCTGAAGGATGTTCAACTATTACATTTCCATTAATAATGGGAAAAACAAGAGTAAATATACTTATATAATACTATTATAGTTAAAATGTCAATCACAGTTAAAAATATTAAGCAATATTATTTATTTATTAGGCAGCTGAATTATTGTACTCGGGTAAAATGTTTAATGCTATTGACGCTCAGAAAATTGGTTTGGTCAATGAAATTATTGATGAAGGAATGAATGGAAGAGACCAGTTAATTAAAAAAATAAAAACTGAAATAGCTGTGTATAAATTGGTACAAAATTATTCCTTAGAAATTAATTCTTGTAAACTATAGTAATTTTTAAAATTTTACAGCCAATAGTATACACCAAGTCTATGATGCTTAATGGAGCGATCTCCAAAGATGAATTGCACAGAGCAAATGATAGAGAATATAAAAGACTATTGGAAAGGTTTAATTCTAGTGACTATTTTAATGCTATAACTAATTTGTTAAAACAGAAATCTTTAAAGAATAAGCTATAAAGATATTTAAAATTATGTAAATGATGCATCACAATACTATTATAGTATATACCTACTTAAAATTATCATTAGGTAATAATGTAATATTAATTTTTAATACTTTTATATCATATTGTTGAATAAATTTAAAAAATATAGTTTTTATAAAATATTGGTTTGTATACAAATTTGTATGATTATATACATGTTTTCTACTATAATAGAAAATTATTGCAGTATTTATTAATACCTTATTATTGTTAAACTTTGTATTATTTATATTTAAATCATATTTATTATTATTTTATTTAGTTATTTAGTGTGGTAGAGGTCCATTTATTTGTATGTAAAACATTAATTGTTAATTGTTTTTGTTAAGTTTAATAATTTGTGTGCCATATATTTTATTTTATTTATTTTATAAGTTTCACTTATGCACTTCAAATGTATTCAAGTTATGTAATATTTAAATGTTTAATGTTAAATATCTAACTTTTTTTTCAAATTAAATACATAAACCATTAAACAGAAGTTGGTTAGGTTAGGCTACATTTATACATATTGTTTTTTGTTATTATTAAACAATTTGTATACATTTTATGATCATTGTAATCCTTTATAAATAATTATTAATTAATTTAAATTTTTGTTAACTAAAAAAACTTATTGACTCACAAATAAAAATTATAATACACTTTTATACACGTTTTGTTTTTAATCAGGTTAACACTATCTAGAAAACAATTTACGTTTAATGTTCTTGTAAAATATTATACATGCAGCAAGGATGAAGAATTTATAATTTGATGTTATACATTTTGCTTATATTAAAAAAATCATAATGAACTATTTCTTTTAAAAAACAATTCTAAATAAACATTAAAATTTGTCCGTGTTAAAATTCCTATTTGCTATTAATTATTTTTTTTCAATTTTATTCAAGTAACTATTATATTACTGAACCCGTTAGTTACTCATACCTATTAAATTAACAGTGTAACCAAAGTAATCGAGAAATAATCAACAACAAAAAAATTAAATTTTCATGTTATAAAATAAAATTGTATGGTTTTGTTTTGAAGGTCAAGTGTACACTATGTCATCAAAATTGAAATAAACCAGTAGATTTGTATAAAAATCAAAAATCCAACATAAATGATACCATCTAGATGATATATAATATAAAATTGAAATGTGTTTTGAATCGTAATACTTTTAATGTGCAATAATATATTACCGATATGTAGCCAAAATTAATCTTTTAGAGTAGGTTTGTACTATATAAAAAAGTGTTTACTGGGTTTACATTCCATTATTAAATCAACATTAATAATTACATATTCTCAGATTTGCTTAAAATTTAAAATACATATTAATAATGTAACATAATATCATGTGTATACCATAAATAAAAAGTGTATAATATTTTAGTGTTATTAAAAAAAAAGACCATATTATTTTGTTTAAATAATCTATTGATTATTCATAATAATATTAACAGTTCATTGCGCATATTCAAACTATTGTCAAAGCATTAGTTAAAACATTTCATAAACAATATTTTTACGATTTTCTAATGCTCAAATGATATTAAAGTACATTAGAATTCAAAAAATGGAGGAGTTTTTTTGGAAAGTCGATTTACAATTCTGAGAACCACTAAAAACAGCGTTATCATCGTTACTGACTTCAATAATACGAAAATCACGCGTCGCCGACCGCCTCATCAATCGTTCCTCCCTTTTCTGGATAAGATAATCAATATTTTTCTCAATTTTCGTTACTACGTATTCAGCAATATATATCTCCAGATTCGTTCCCCGTTGTACTCTTTTTTTCCAAATTTCATTCGCACATAAAATGGCTTCCAGACGAATCGATCCGAAACAAAAGGAATCCTATTCGGCAGTCAAATATGTTCAGGTTGAAGGATTGGTAAGTGTTGTACTTTATTAAAATCGTTTACGAACAACCTTGTGTAAATTATAAAAATACACATTAAACATTTTACACTTTAGGCATTAATGAAAATCGCAAAACATTGTCATGAAGAATGTGCCAGTGATGTAATCATTGCCCAAGGAGCACTTCTGGGTCTGGTTGTTGATGATTGTCTTGAAATCACCAATTGTTTCGCGTTTCCAAAGAGCGTTGATGAATCTATCAATGATGGTGAATTTTTATTTAACCGTTATTGTACTATAATATAGACTAGATGTCTACAAACTTTTTTGTTACCAAAATAATTTAGCACAAAATGATTTGGTATATATTTGGTTTCATTTATACAAAAACGTGCTGTTATAATATTATATTTCATATAGTTTTTTTTGGGAGCGAATGCAGTTTAGCTCCCAGTTTAACTTCATTTGGAAATTATGATCAAAAAACTTTAAAATGCTCGATTTTTCTAAAAATCGTGGTTTGAGTTTAAATTACCAAAGATTTATATTTTTAAGTTTTTTTTTTTAGAAATGATATTAATTATATGCTTAACATTTTTGTGGTTTATTAACAATAACATAAAAAGCAAGTACAATAGGTGAATTTTTATTTAACCAAAATATTAAACATATAATTACTACCATTTCTGAAAAAAAAATTCAAAAATATTAATTTTTTGAAAGTACCATCAAATTAAGCATGTAAAAACACACATTTTAGAAAATCCAAAAATTCGCTTGGGAGCTAAACTGCATTTATGCCTTTCTTTGATATTCATTAAATAATATAATCATTATTTATTATTAGACTTAATAATTAAAATTTTTGTTTGTTTCATAGAAAAATATCAATTAGATATGATGAAAAGTCTTCGTCAAGTCAATGTTGATCATTATCATGTTGGATGGTATCAAAGTTCTGACGTTGGAAACTTCTTGAGCTTGCCATTGCTGGAATCGCAATTTCATTATCAGACCAGCATTGAAGAATCTGTGGTTTTAATTTTCGGTATGTATTTGTTTTGTACATAAATTTGATTGCTGTAGGTATTTAAAATTAAACTAATACTGCTAATTTAATAATGAGACAAAATGTCTATTGATGTATAAACAGATTATAAAAAGGTAATTTATTTTTTAAGTCATTACTATTTAATTTTGTACAATTTGTATTATATTTAATTAATATTCTAGAGCTTTTAGATTCTGACTGGAGCAAGGAATGTATTGGTTTTACAGTGATGTTTATTTTTTTTTTCTGTGGGCAACTTTTAGCAATTTTACTCCAATTTTCAAGTGTAACACTTTTTGAAAGAAAATCTGACTGGAGTGATACTTTGGGGAAGGGACATCCTCAGAAGAGAGCAAATGAGGCAGTCACCCTCCCCCCCCTTACATGGCCTTTTTTTTCTTCAGTTTTTTTGTAATTTATATTACACTAGAAAAATACATAAAAGTACATTGTAAAATCATGTGATATCCCATATTAGATGCAAAAAAAAAAGAATGTTATTAGAATTAATAACTAAATTAATAATTTAAAGTTTACTTCTTTATTACAGAAATTGAAATTCCTCAAGATGTATTTTTAGTGCCATTGAGGAATGTGATTTAGTATTTTTTCCCTTAATTAAAAAACTTTTGTTTATATTGGGATCTTAATCAGATAGTATTGCAGAACATTGGTTATATTTGCTATTTGATCATAAATTAGCACCTAAATAATTTTTACTAGATTATCAAAAAGGCATTAACAATCAATTGATATAGGAAAGGAAAGATAAATAATAGATTTAAGAAAAGTTTTGAAAGAAATGTATGGTTTATACTGTATACTTAGTAAAATTTTGCATTATGGTAAAAAAATATTCAATTTTTATAATTATTTTCATTATGTCTACCTATGTATTGCTTTTTAATGCAAATTAATAACTGGTTATTGATAATAATTAATACAATTTGTCTCTTTTATTGTTATAAAAGTTTTAGTTTAAGTGCTGTAGTTTAATAAAGCAATTCAAAAATATGTTATTTATTGAACTAAACAGACATTTTACTTATTAATTATTATGTAAAATAATTGGATAATGTATAATACCTACTGGGTATTACATATAATAACTAAATTTATTAAACTAACTACACAGAAACATATTCATCATAAACTGCAAATACCTATATAGATTATAGATACAGACAGATTCATTCAACACACAACATTCATTATTTTGAATATTATTCACTTTTTTTGTAATTTACTTTTGACAAATTATTTAAAATCTTACATTTTTTAGTGGTTTGATATTTTCAGTCTCTGGATTTACCCTAAATAAATATCATCTTTTGGTTTTCAAATGAAAAACCATTTATTTTATTTATTTTATAAATTCAATTTTGATTTATAAGAAAAATATCCTAATACATTTCTTATATATTTGAAATCATTTCCCAAAAAAGAATTCCAAATAAAGTTAATACTTTTCTTAATAATAAAAATAAATATTTTAACCCTGTATACTTATATTTTTTAAGCTTTTGTACATAGTTTAGTTTTTGCTTTATAATTATTTCCTTGATTTTCAATACTTATTAGATTAAAAACTTTGTTGAGAAATCAAATGGGACGAATACATTTGACTGGTTTCTCGTTTTTTGAATAATAATATTCCATTAAATACTAATAACATAATTAATCACTTTGCCAAATTAAAACACAAAGTCAATTTCAATCTTTAATCAATTAAATAATATTCAAATTCGACAAATTTATTGTAACACTAAATGAGATGTAAATAAATACCTATAATAATTGTAAATTGTTTTTTCTCACTTTATGACATAATTATTAATATATAGACAAATATTTTAAATACTATGATTATGTTAATAAATAACTCGATTTCTTCCTAGAAACCGTAATTTTAAACATTTTATTATTATTTCACTGTTTTTTAAATCTATAACCATGCCTATGTCATATATGACATTACACACCCCGAGTAAAACCACGTAAACTATCTATTAATTAATGTGTTTATATATATATATATATTTATAATGCATGAAGTTTGTCCCCCCTATAAGGGGGTCTAGGGATGCCAATGTTTTGGGGTGGTCATTTTCCTAGGGATGTTCATAATAAGTAGTAAAAACTTAGGAAAAACTGAAAAATATACAAAATGTATTATTTTCAAATAATGTTAAGGCCTTTTAAAACATATATAACTGAATTCCACCCAAAATCGTTTTTTGTTAACCTAACCAACCTGTCACCTACAACAGTAGCCCAACCGAAGTGTGTTAGTATTTTCTTTTTTTATACTGTTATCATTTAATCACCTTTGGGTAGCTTGACACTGCTTTCTGCACTCTCGAAATATTTAATTTTCAACTGTAATGAATGCTCAATAGTAATTTAAAAACCATTCCTTTGTAACAAATTAATTAAGGTAAATAGAAGTTAACAGGATTTTTCCTATGGTTCTATACAATTTATTCTCATCAAAAACATCTATACAGTGTAACAAATAAAACACATTTGCTTTTATTTAGATTATTAATAATTTATTACATTGTTTTTGTCATAATTTAAGAATTCAAAACACATACATAATTTTTTATTTTTGTGGTACTGACATTCACCACTATGCAAAATTAAAAATAATTTTATATTTGTAATGTGAAATCATTATACAATAAATAGTTCATCACCTGGGCATCAACATTATTGCTGACTGCGTCCGAAATAATCACAGTCCAATGCAATTCATTATAATTGAATAATAATTATTATTATGTCTGCATAATTTTTTAAATACCATAATATAATATGAATTAATATTATTTTACTTTTTAGATGCTCCCAAGACAAATCGTGGATTTTTGTCTTTAAGCGCTTATCGTCTTACACCGCAAGCTTTGACTATGTTCAAAGAAAATGATTTTATGCCAGAAACATTAAAAGCCTTAAAAGTTGGTTATGATCATCTATTGGTTAAAGTACCAGTTGTTATCAAAAATTCAACATTGACTAATATTCTTCTCTCAGAGTTGAGTTTTAAAATTAAGATCGAGGAAGGATCTGAACATTTGGATATTGGTACTGCGTAAGTAACCTGACATTATATTTGTATGTATGAATTTATTGCCAAACTGGAAAAATAAATGAGTAATAGGTTCAGGGTGTTTGGATTGTATGTATGTTTCAATTTTCCATTTGAATTACTGAGCCCTTTTTCTGAAAGGAAATTTAATTTGAGTGGTACTATAAGGAGGCCATTTTTTGATTTTCCCACTGGTTTTCATAATAAATGAGAAAAAATTTAGGAAAAACGAGAAAATTTACTAAATGTGTTATTTAAAAATTCCAAATATTATGGTTTTTCAAAACATATATAACCGAGCTTTTCTCAGAATCAGTTTTAGTTAGCAATAGTTAATCATTAGATACAGATATACATTAAATTTCCCAACTTCTCACCTACAACAGTGGCCCACCCATTGTGCAAAGTGTGTTAGATTTTTTTTTTAATACCTAATATTACATTTGAACATTAGAAGACACCTAATTACTACATGGTTGAATTGTTATTGTTCTTAATTTAAAGAATATATTGTTACATTATAGTACCGTTTTGGAAGGACAGTTACGTAATTTAATGGACCGTGTAGATGATCTAAATCAAGAAGCCATTAAATTCAATCGTTATCAACAAGCAGTTGTACGCCAAGTTACAGATAAGAGTCGTTACTTGCAGAAACGAGTAATACATTTTTTAAAGTATTTATGATTGAACAAATATGATTTTAACCATTTGGTTTTTTTTTCTATTTATAGAGTTTAGAAAACCAAGCAAGAGCCGCTAAAGATGAACCACCATTACCTGAAGATGATATTACCAAGATATTCAGACCATTGCCAGTACCACCAAGGTTACCACCTATGCTTATAGCTACACAAGTTGATACATATGCTGCAGAAATAGCTAAATTCTCCACTCAATCTTTGGCTAAATTATATATGACCAAAGCAATGAACACAAATAATTAAATATGAAAATAAAAAAATGTTTAATATTCTGAAAAGGAGTTTTTTTATAAATATATGTTTAAATAATGATACTTTAAAGCAATCAATCATTTAGTTACATACAACTGAACTCACATTCATTAAACTAATATTATATATGTATTAATTAATTTTTTTTTATTTTTTTTATCTATTTTGCTTTGAATATTTTTGGTTTTTAAGAATTATGATTTTGTTATTTAGAATTTGTCTGTATAATATGTTTGTGTACAAAGGTATTATAATTAAGTTGTGTAAGATCATAGAACTGATTTGAAAAACATTCAACATACTCTCGTATGCATAGAACAAGATATTTTTGATTTGCAATTTTCTAATTTTTAAGGGTTTGTGTAAAGGGAATAAAGAAGATAGAATCAACATACAAATATTCAATTTCACTGCTTAGAAATGTAAAAGTAGCCCATGTCATTTATTTTATTTTTTTATTATTATATTATTATTGATCGTCTTTGATATAGTTGCCATTTGTTGCAATATTTACATGGATTGCTTAAAATTAATTTTATTTTTTAATTCTCACTACTGAATTAATTTTTTTTTAGTACACACTACTCTGCTGGTGTAAAATTTTATTTTTTAATTTAAGTTACATATAGTAGTTATGGTTCAAGAATTAATTTATAATTTTTTTTTTTCAGTCAATATTGTATGATATATTCGATATTTAAATTAACGATTGATACTCAAAATAGTCAATAACTCTATATCAGTAGAAATGTTCCTTTTATTATATTTTTGAATACATAATTATTAAAATAATAGGGCGCATATATATATGTCTATGGCACTATTGTCCTTACTGCTGGACGTATATGCGTCCATAGCAGTTATACTGTTAAAATTATGATACACAGAAAATATATATTATTTAAAATATTACTAGAATAATTAGATAACAAAAAAATAAACAGTACTAGAGTAATTTTACATTATAAGTGGTAACTTTTTATTTTAATTTTTGAAGATTCGAATATTTAAATAATTTGATTGTTTTATTCAGTTTTGACCCAATTTTCGGCATTCTAGCAATAGTTATTTTACTGTAAGATTTACTCCACAAGATGGGGGATCTTCTATTACCATAAGAAATACATGTGTGTCTAATGCGCCAACAGTTATATATGACCTCTATGAGTGATAAGTTTAAATACCGCCAATGCTTAGTTTCTCTTTTAATTTCAATCAACTTAGGATTAGATTTAATCCAAGTACTGTATCACCAACTACAATTTAAATAAATACATACAATTTTTACCTTATTGATAAGAATATTTTTATTTGATATGCATTTGAAAAACTTCAAATTATAGAAGTTAAAGCATTATATTCAACTTTTTTCACTATAGTTTTCTCTAAAAATGTATACATTTTGTTACAGATAAAATCATCTATGTTGTATAAACATTTTGAATAACTTAAGTAAAACTTTTTAGTCTCAATATAGTGGTGTGAGGCTTCCTCTTAAGATATTAACAAATATTTTTGGAAATTGCTTATTAAACCAATAATGAACGTCAAATATAATTAAATATTGAACTGGCTGGATAAACATTTTGAAGAAAAATGATCATGTACCATGTACCATGATAGTTATATAATTAAGATAGCTATCAATTTTTGCTATAAACTAAATCAAATAAAATGAATCTATTGAAATCAAATCACAGTATGAAATTTTAAAAATTCGATGGAAGCTCCAAAATGTAGCAATGAGAAAACATTTTTGGTTGAACTGTAGGTTTTTATAATGGGTGGAAAAAAAATGATTTTTTTAACATTTGTACAGGTACCCACCCAATTGATACGTGTTCGGAATTTCTATTTTTTTTCCCCCTTTTAAACTTTTTTTAGTATTTAGAAAATTATTAAAATAAATATAATGAGCCCTGTCTGAGATAAAAATACTCATTCATTCATTTAAAATTCAAAATGTATGAATGAATTACAGTAGCGAACCCAGATCTTAGGGCCCACCCTATTTAGGGAAGGAAGCTAAACCATTTACCACGTTGAAACTTCATATATATCTACTTGTATTTTACCACAATACAGGAAAAATATAGGAAAATACTTGATTAAGGGGAGGGAAAATGATCCTATTGCCCCCCTAGATAAATTAGACTAATAAATTGAGTCCATATTTTAAATTAACCTGAACCTGAATTAGGTGATTAATTTTAATTCTGATTTCAAATTTAACATAAAAACCTGGAATGTAAAAATGTAGAAAATAGATACTTAACTGGATTCCAAGGTTTTACAGATAGGTATCAAAATGTGAACTGTACAATCAGTGGTCAAAGTGGGGGGATGACATCTTACCACTGATTATGTTCTACATTTTTCATCCCTCCACTTATTTTGTCCAAAATAATACATCCCCCTTTATAATTATATACAAAGATTTTCGATTTGTATTGATGTTTTTATATTATGATATGTCATTATAGTCTATAAACTATAATAATGACTAATGTACAAATAGTTTAGTTTTTTTATTTGTTTTTATACTTAGGCGCCTACATTGAGTGGCTTATTCATGAGGGTGCATGAGGGTGTAGCCCGGGTGGGCTACAGGGTGAGGCCACCGCTGAAATTTCCGGAAATCTTAAATTATCGTTTTAAATATACCTATTATAAACTACAATTTGTGATATGATCTACCCCAAACGAAAAAAAAAATTCCTCGATGCAACTCTAAGTACCCTTAATAATATTATCTAACAGGTAATAATAATTGTTGATGTGTTTACGTCGTCGGTCGAAATAGCTGTATTTATAACAACTGTAGTGTAAGGCTACAAAGTTAAATTTGTCGAAAAACAAACGTACTCACCTATAAGTATTAGTAGGTAGGTTATAATGTCGTGTGATCACGCATGAGTGCATGACTCATTTCAAATACCCAACTAACTAAACAAAACGGAACCCCTTATGACGATGTTTCGAGTTTTTCGAATTTTTAAAATATGTCCAACCCCGATTTTCGCTACCGTCACGCGAGTAGTGTCACGTTTCGTATAAACACATTTTACACGAATGTAATATTATCAGGGTTCGGGACGACTGTGAGCAATTGCTTTTTTTTCGGTATGTTCATAGGCTTGACATAAATCTAGCAGAATGCTATGGCAATTTATTTCGTGTTATAATGAATTCAAATAAGAAAATTTTAAAGTGCTTTTTTCATTTTTTTATTTAATTTTTAATTTATTTAAACTAAATTTCAGATTTTTTTTACCATAGTAGATAATATATACACCTCAATAATTAATAATAATAATTATAATATGTAATAAATTAATAATAGATCTTAAATAAAATGTTTTAGAAAAACTTAAACTTGTATATTTATTCAATTAACGACTAACGAATAAGTCGACTTATTTCAAAGATTTTATATTGGTTGTGTAAATTTTTAGTCGAATAATTAGTCGGTAGTATTCGATGAGAACAAATAATCGGTAGTAATAAATAGTCAGTTATACCACATGAATTTTCTAATCACCTTTATTCTCAAAAAATATAATTTTAGATTCTAAGTGGAGCGAGAGGCTTATGGTTTTACAAAGATGTTTAATTTTTTTTTTTCTGTGGACAACTTTCTACCAGCAATTTCGCTCCAACATTTAATGGTAGTAATTTTTCTGAAAGGAAATTTCACTTTAGAAGAGGTACTTTAAAGAGATCGTTTTTCGATTTTCTCAAGAGTTTTCTTATTAAATGCGAAAAAAAAAAACGGGAAAATCTACGAAAGATATTTGTATAATATTATATTTTTTTTTCTGTGGACAACTTTTCTGGTCATTTTTCGATAAATATATTGCCCCAAGGCACGAAATTTCCAAATACAGCCCTAGCTACAACGAAATATAATTCTGAGCGGAACTCGATCAATAGTGCTTTAAATCAATATTGCTTTTTCAACGATATGAGCTTTTACAACAACAATTTTTTCAAAAAAGATAAAAATTATAAAAAATGTATTAACAACAAAATATAAATAAAAATGGTTGCCAATGACATCTTTATTTTTAATCTTTTTTGACATAAGAACCTGTTTTTCCTCATTATCTCGAACATTAATGAAAATTTCAAAATACGGCCTTTTTAAGTACCAACAAGAGCCTAAATTCAACAAAAAAAGGTATTTTGTCATATTTTATTTGGGTCAAGATTTCTAGGAGAAAAGTTGTTTACAGACAAAAAAAAGAAAAGGAAAAAAGAAATTGATACTAAGGAAGGGTGTGGCCATTGTTGTACGTGGAGAGTTTAGAAGGTGAGATACATTAACTTATTTAATTAATACCTGTGATCAAAGATAAACAATTGCTAATAAAAAACGATTCTGAGCGAATTTCGATTATACATGTTTAAAAAGGCTGTAATATTTACGATTTTCGTCAAAATTTTACATTAAAACTTATAAAAAAAATGTAAAAATACTACATTACACTTAATGTTTTTTTTTTTTTTTTTTGTGCCACTTAGCATGACTTTTAATGAACCCGTTAAATTTTTAAGCATTTCTGTTTAGTTTAACAATTTTATCCACAAAGTACCTGCCAAATAAAAACTACCTAAAAAACTCGCAAAATTAAAATGTCTATAAATAGAAATGTTTAGAAAATTTTACCACGTCTAGAAAAATTAAATGTTAGTTTTTTTGTCCAAATTTCAAGTCTCAAATATTTTTACCTGAATTATATTATAAAAACAAAATTAAAAACAATAAAATAAATATTTTCGTAAATTTTCCCGTTCATTTGTACGTATGTTTCGGTTCTGCTAAATTATTTAAAAAAAAACGAGCTTCTTTAACATGCACAAATTAAATCATTAATTATTTGTTTATAATATTAGTATTATTTATTGCTGGAAATTTAAAAGAAAACCTTATAATAGTAATTCCCTATGCAAAATTGGTTTATTTTGTATTCAATAAGACAATAACCCGAATGTAACATTACACAAGTACGAGTATTGTAGGTGGGCATCGGAGTTATTATTACTTATTAATCATTAGGTGCCTATGTCAATTGCTTAATTCAAGGCCGTATCTGAGGGGGGGAGCCAAAGGATCCACCCCCTCCCCCCCGAAATTTCTTCAATATTTTACAAATGTTCAAAATAACTATTTTTAATACCAACAAAAATATTTTCAATCATAAATTATCACCGTTTTGTATCATTATAACATATTAAAATATTATTATCCAATAATAATAATAGATGGTTTATTAATGGACAACGACCGCTGTCAACGCCGGTCGGCGACGATTAACGACAATATTAAATGATTTGCTTGAGTGATAAATATTATTATGGCACATGTGCCGTCGTCCGCAAGACTGTGACAAACACGTCGAATAGTTTTTCTAAATTCATCCAACTTTTTCGACATTAAAACGCGTCAACACATTTTCACGAAACTCGACAGTACAAGAGAGACTAACTGGGCTAGTTCTTTTAAGTGCCCATAGAGCTGTTACAGTTGATCCCGAAGAAGTTTTAAACCAATTTGCTCTTCAAAAAGAATAGGAGCATATTATTGATTTTAAATGTGATTTTTTTTTTATGCATGCTTTGTGTTGCGTAAGACGATAAGATGTCAAAGTAATTTTATTTGTTTTTATTATATTTTACTAAATTAAATTAAATTTTTTTTTTCCTTATTATTAACCAAACCATCAAAACCTAAATTCAATAAAATTACAATAGGTACCCCTCCAGGAAAAAATTTCTGGATACGACCTTGGCCAAGTAGACCAATAATAATTATTTGCATAAGCTATATGTAGGCATTATTAATGTTTTGATAAATATTTTATATGAACCCACGTTTTTAGATCTAAAAAATTCTTAGAAAATATATATAATTAAACGGTTTAAATAAATTTCATAATGTATTGTAATGTATTATTTATTGTGGATTGTAATATTGTTGACATATTTACTTAATGTGTGTGGAGTGTATAAATCTGGAATCCAGTGTTTTATGGATATCGAAATTTCGAGATTAAAAACTTTTACTTTCCAAATTTATACGGTTCGGATCTCAACATCCGGTTCCAATATACGATTCATAACCCCGGGGATTCCAGTTTAGTACCTTCCAAATGAATACATTCTAGAATTCGGATTTCTTTAGTTACTCTGTGTTATTGCGCGCTTCCGTGTAATATTGTGGTTTTACTATTTAAGTTTTCATAATCGACCGGATGTTTAAATCAAAACATAACATGCTCTACATGATACCAACTAGGTACCTCATATTGTATAGAATTAAGGTGGACACATAGAGTGTGTGTAAACACTTCCTATCTCGTATCATTATGATAGTGGGCCGAAAAAAGTGCAACACTTATAACTGCCACCCGATGAGTGCTCAAACATACTAGGTACCTATCAAATAGTACGTAAGTAGAAGTTTTTATTTATATTGATTTCGATATTTGTTTTAATTTATTTATAGTGTTTCTCTTGTATGATATTTGATCACCGTGCCTTTTACATGCAAATGTCATTCTTGTGTTCAAATAGATATTAATTAAATGTTTGGTTAATTCATTCCGATGTTCCAGGCAGCCAACTTTGAAAGGGGCTCCAGTAGTATTGATTTTATCCATAACTATAAGTCTATATAGAATAATGAAAATGCATATAATTTGAAATAAAGAACATGAATTAAATTAGTAGGTAAACTAAAATGTGCTAACCATATTCCAAAATATGTCTATTAATAATTCTATTATTTATGACATTTATAATAGCAGTCTCCAAGCGCCCATGCGGTGTATTATATTCATTAGATATTCTAATGGACTGAATAAATGTCCACGATTTCTCATATTTATAAATTCTTGGCATTCTACTTCAAGATGAGTGTCTGAAGAAGATCGTCTGAGTATTAACCATGTTCTAAAAAGTAATGAATTATTTACCGTAATATGAACATTTCATTGACTATGCATAATATGTAATATACCTTGGGATATATTTATTATTTTATCATTTAAATTACATTTCTATAACTGAATTTCTACATTAATGATCTTTAGTTCAATGTAACAAGTTTTAATATCATAAATCTATTTTGATCATGTTTACTAGGTAATAATATTTATTTTTTAAATACTAGCCAGTATAATAGACATGTACGTTGATCTTTTAAAAAATAATATAAAACAAACATCTTGCAGCTTTTGTTATATATATATATTGTATGAATATAAATTAAACAATATTAAAGCTTCTTAATAAATAAATAGTAGGTACAGAATAATAATAAAATAATCTATTTAGGAAATATCAGACCTCGGGAGGATGAAATACCGAAGTCAGTTTTATTCCCTGCTTTTGATATATTTTATTTCGTTGGAGAACCAAGAGTTACACCTAAGCACAAAACATTTTGGAGTCATACTAGATAAATAAAAATAATAATATTTCAAACCGAATTTGTAAAATAAGTGTACCTAGGTTGTGTGGGAACTTATATAAATAACAATACTGTAAAAGAATACAAAGACACACTTAAGTAATATGACTTAGTATTATACACATGAACTTGATAGATATTTTCAATAAAGTAAAGAAAGACATAAAGTCATTCTAAAAATGACTACAGCATGTTTGATAAAAATGAACATATAACCAAATAACCAAATCAAGTAAATAATAAATTTACTATTACTTTAATTAATATTTAATATGACAATGGCTACAATACATTAAAGATACCTATTGAATTATATATTAATTTACATAGGTACCACATATAGGTTAAGTTAAGAAATTAAGAACTTTTTTTCATAGGTATTCATAGTTCGTAGACCAGTGTGTAATTTGTATTTATAATACGTATAAGTAGCATGTCTATTGTCTATACCTACTTCACAAAATCACTATTCCCCCCAAAAAATATGA